CATCAGCAGCTGCCCCATGGCCCTGCCAGGGCCATGACACCCGAGGATGGGGGGGTCACTTACGTAGTAGGCAAGCTTGAGCCCCCCCATGTCAGCGATGTTCTCCCCCAGTGTGTGTTTGCCATTCACCTGCCGAGAGAGGAGAGACATGGGGTGAGCCGAGATGACCCCCCTGCAGACAGACCTCCCCCATCTCTACCCTGGCACTGAGGCTCTGCCTCAGTTTCGCCCACCCAGTGCCCTGAGGCATTTCCTAGCGGAGGTGATGAGTTCTCCGGTCTCAGGTCTGGGCAGAGCAGGGCCATGCTCTCCTGTGGGCACCCAGCCCCAGTGACAGAGCGGTGGGGACCCCCCATGGGGCAGCGTGTGCCCAGGCATTGCCCAGCAGGAGAGGGCCTCTCACCCGCTGGTTGTAGACAGTGAAGTTGTCGTAGAGGTTGACGATACACTGCGCCTTCTTCAAGAACTTGCTGTATGACCTCTCCGTCCACCAGTGCACCAGGTTCCCGTGCCGGTCGTACTGTCCCCCTGCCGAGGCAACCGCCACCACCGGTAGTCCCGAGGGACCCAGTCCTGCCCGGCTGCCCCCAGCTCACCCATCTCCCGCCCTGGCATGAGGTGGGGTGTTGCTCACCCCAGTCGTCATAACCGTGGGTCAGCTCATGCCCAATGATGGTGCCAATCCCGCCATAGTTCAGCGACCTGTTGAGCGGAGGTGAGAGGGTGGAGGGCATGGTGCTGGCAGGAATGGTGGTGACCCCAGGACCTGGCACGCCTACACCCTGCCCTGGCACCCCCCACCCACGCCCCAGCCCCACACTCACTGCGGGAACTCGGGGTCGTAGAGGGTGGGCTGCAGGATGCCAGCGGGGAACACTGGGGACACAGGACAGCATTGCAGTTGTGGGGGGCACCTTGCCCTGTACCCATCCACAGCATCACCCTGCGCCATGCCCCCCGTCCCGCACCCTCCTCACACCCCCCACCCCGGGGCGCTGAGCCCGGGGGCCGGGCAATGCCTCACCCATCTGGTTCTTGTTGGGCAGGTAGTAGGCGTTCAGCGCCTGGGGAGGCAGCAGCCACCTGCAAGGAGAGACAGCGGTGCCAGGCCACAGGAGCACTGGGGGGCATGGAAATGTCACCCCCTTGCATACCTGGGGGGACAAGGGGGCATTCTTTTTTGTCCTGTGCCCTCCTGCCTACACCCATGGGGTGCAACCGGGCATGGGGACAGGGGGCATTGGTGGGGCCATGCTGTGCCCCCTGTGTCCCCCCACAAGGGCAAGGAGATACCCACGCAGACTTGTCCACCTCCTGCCGGATCTTCTTCACCGAGAGCCTGATGCCGAAGGCAATGCTGTTGAGGATGTTCTTGAAGTAGGTCTTCTCATCCACCTCAAACTGGAGGGGCATGGCCACATCAGGGGGGATGCCAACTCCAAATGACAGCCCCAAGAGTGTGAGGAGCAGGGTTGGGGTGTCGTCCCACTCCCATGAGCCTTGGGGATAGAGGGTGTGGGGTTGTGGCTGTGGGCTGGTTGTGTCACGAGTGTGTCCTCATGTCCCAAGTCCCCAGTCCTTGCTGAGGATGGGGCTGAGCTCTGGGGGGTGCGATGGGGAAAAGGGGATATCGTGCCAGACCCCAGGGACAGCGTGGCACTACATGTGTGGCCACAGCCATGTGAGTGGTGGGCACAGCAAGCTACCAGGACGTGGCTTGTTTTGTGGTGGCATGTCCCCATCCCAATCTCCACAGACCCTGAGGCAGATGTGGGAACCAGCTCCTCCCCTCCACATGCCCACGCCCTGCATGGCTCTGGGCCACCCCTTGC